AATAACTAGGATATATATATATATATATATATATATATATATATATATATCCTACTGAGTCCATTTAGCATTGCTCATATGTACATATGTCCTGGGCTGAGCACCAAGGATTGGACAACCAATGAGGAAGCTTGTCCCTATGGGAACTGAACCCTCTCTCCCTCAGCAGTCATTGGTCACCTGTAGCTCTTCAGCTTGGGGTGGGGCCACATGGAATTCTTCTGCCCACATTGGCATGTCCGCTGGTGGTGTTGTGCTGGTCTTGTTCATGCAGCTATACTGTTGAGAGTTAATGGGTACACTTTGTCTGTCCTGTCTAGGGAATGATCTAACAGCAGGTACTCTGAGCCTTTGGCTCTGACAATCTTTTTGCCCCTCCTTCCACAATCTTCTCTTAGGTGTTGGGTTGCACTACAGGTACATCATTCGGGGTTGGGCATCCCACAGTAGGTGATTTGATCCTGAGGATTCATAAAAAGAGTGCTTTCCCATCCAGTCCCATTCATGGCTCTGAAAACACAAGGCTAAGCATCATGTATGTTGGGAAATTGAGCATCCTTTTTGACTATGGTATAAGCTAGAGCAGAAAATTTGTCAGGAACACAGTGTCCTCCTGTGGTGAGAAAGGTAATTGCATGATAGGGCCACTGCCTGCCTTGCCCAGGTGTCACACCTTGAAAAAGACAAGGAGAGGAGTAGGTGCTGGATATCCAAGTGTGGATCCAGGACTGCAGCAGAAGCCAGCTAACAGACCCTCGGTCCTGAACTTGCCCGGAGCTTGCTGGTGTGCCATTCACCAGAAAGCTTTCAGGCAATAGCATTACCTTCCACGAGCAGTGTCAAGGTGAGAGCAGCTTGGATAATTCAGAGCACTGGTTTCCAAATTGATGTTTCTCAAGTTCAAGGAAGGCAAATGGGTTTGTGCTCTGGGAGCTCTTATTGCAAGACCGGGGAGAGATGTTTTTCACTGCTGAATTCTATAGGAATCTTTTCTCTCTGGCATGGCCATTGTTTGGACTTTCTACACATCTCCATATATTTCCAAATCACAATGAAATTTGCACATCATAACAAAGTATGAGCTAGTTGTTTTCTTGGTAGTCTTCGCTTAAAATAGGAATACAGTATCACATTCGAGAAAACTTCGCTCCCCACACGTGTTTGCTCTGCATCATAGTTTTCCGTGAATTATTGATATTTTTGGAAGCCCGGAAGTGCAGGTGATCTGGTCGGTATGATAATGAGCCTGGGTCTGAAAACGTCGGCCCTCATTCTGAAACTTCAAAATGCTCATTTTGGTTTACAGTTCGCTTATGTAGTCTCCATAGGAACCTGATGCAGAGTTTGCGGGCCCTTAGACCCATGTGGTGTGTCCTTCCCCACTTCCACATTAGTGTGGAGAGGGGGGGTCAAGCAGAGAGAGAGAGGGAAGGAGGGAGGGAGGGCCATGAGGGAGGAGGAGAGAGACGGAGAGGGAAGGCGGGAAGGGAGAGAATGGATATGAGAATGAGTGGATAAATATATGTGAATGAGAATATCTGGAGTGAGAGAAGGAAGCCAGAGGCCATATCCTGCAAGGCACTGTGTTCAAATGGCTCTGTGATGGTTGCCTGTGAGGATCTTCCTGATGCTAAGAAATCGCCGTCAGATAACACGAGACACTGCTTTGAAGCCTTCAAGTTCGCACAATGTTAATGAGAGAAGTAAAGACTGGATCTGGTCCCTGAGGGCATTTCCTAAAACTTTCTAATCATTACTCCTTAAGTTAACCTCCCTGAGGAGATGGAGCAAAGGCACTTCAGGCAGCTCTGCTGTGGCTTGCTGTTGGCTTCGGATGTACACTGCTCTGCCAAGCTAACAGGAGACCCTGGAGTATTTCTACTGGGCTGTGCCTCTGGCTTCTATTCCCAGAATAACTCTAGCATCTGACAACTGACTCAAAGAGAGGCAGTCCACGCAACGTTTTTAGCCCTGCTTTGTGGGCAGGGAATTACTTTCAAGTGACAGTCTCATTTTGGTCACTTCCACGGAAATGTCAGTGACAAACATTGCTTGAAAGAGCTGAGCTGGAGGTAATTTGAAGCCCAGCCAGGGGTCTAGATTTGCTTAAAAATCAGAACTTTATGCTGGGATCCTTACACGGAATTATTTTTTTTAGATATATGCTTGTTTATATTCCTTTTTATATCAAAATTTTTATAAAATATAATTTGACCATGTTTGTGCTGTTTTTAATATAAATTTTTATTTAAATTAGAAACAATCTTATTTTACATATCAGTCCCAGTTCCCTCTCCCTCCCATCCTCCCGAGTCTCCCATCGATCCCCCATCCCACTCCCCAGGGAGGGGGGCCTTCGATGGGGGATCTTCAAAGCCTGTCACATCATTTGTGGCAGGGCCTAGGCCCTCCCCCATGTATCTGGGCTGCAATAGTATCCCTCCATGGGGAATGGGCTCCCAAAGTCCATTCGTGCACTAGGGATAAATACTGATCCACTACCAGAGGTTCTATAGATTGCCCAGGCCTCCTAACTGACACCCACATTCAGGGGGTCTGGAACAGTCCTATGCTGGTTTCCCAGCTATTAGTCTGGGAACCATGAGCTCCCCCTGTTTAGGTCAGCTGTTTCTGTAGGTTTCTCCTTATGCTGAGTTCTTAGTATTTGCATGCACCTTAGCATTAACTCCAGGAGGCTGCAGCAGGGCATTGTACTCGGGTAACAAAGGCATGCATAATACCTAGGTGAGTGACCAGCATGCCGTGGACACTATTCTGGTGAAAACCCAACTTAGTGTGCACAGTTCTGACACCAATCAGCTACCATTGATTATTTCACATGTTTGAAGGTTTCAGACAGACACAAGGCACACCTCGGGGATTCTCAGGCCAAGTATGGCTCTGGGTCTCTGCCACGCTAATGTGTTCATACACAAAAGCGGAGGTCCAGTAAGTGATATCCCAGGATCACCATTGATGTTGTAGATGTTTTGTGACTGACACAAATGAGATGTGACCATGGAGTGTTTTCTCACACGTGACTTACCAGAAATATCTTCCTAGATGTCTACAAGTTCTCTGAATTCCCTGCCTGGAGTCCAGTGAGCACGGGTATGTGGAAACCCTTAGAAAGGAGGTGTTTGTTAAAGGAGAGTGGAGCTGCCTGGGATTGTATCCTGGGAGTCAGAACCAGAGAAGATGGAGGTCCTGGGGTGTATCCGTGACATGGTAGCTGAGAGAAAGGACAGGGAGATAAACGGTGCATCTGTTGATGGCAAATGTTATGTTTAAGAGCCAAGAGCACAAAGAGAATCAAAGGCAGGAGAATAAACAGTGTTAGGAACAATGCATGGGGAACCTTTGTGGATTCCACGGCAGGTGAGGGAGACCAAAGTGGGGGACAAACATGCCAGGCAGACAGAGCTTACATGACAAGTTTTATTAGAAAGGGGAGAGAAGGGGGAAGGAAAGAGAAAAGAGGTAAAGAGACACAGACAGAGAGAGGACAGAAGAGAAGAGGGAGACAGGAAAAGTCCTGTCTGCCCCAGGGGAACAGCGGGAAAGAGAGAGGGAAAAAAGAGCTCAAGTGGTTAGGGGTCTGTCTGTCTTTC